ATTTTTTTATATAATAATAGGGTTTTTAATTATCTTTTGACTGTTCAGTGCTAGTGCGCAAAATAATTGTTATCTAAATAATTTACATGTCTGTGTTGGTATGTATTCTGCAACTTGGTGGGATAGTGTGTTATCTCTGTTACTTTCTTTGTGAAGACCTCAGGATTTTCTATATACGAGGTCCGCTGAAAAGAGCTTTGTTCTGTCTAGCCTGAGCAACCCTTCTCCTTTTTCTTGCCTGTTTCTCTCTTTGGGTTCTTTGGTTTCTCTCCCAGTGTTCAGAGAGTTGTTCTGAACATGGGCATCCTTCTCGTCCCTGATCTTAGGACAGTGGCTTTCAGTCTTGTACTCTTGAGCACAGGCTAATGCAGGTGTTTCCTAAATGCTCTTTGGCGATATACTGCAAAGTTCTCTTTTGTTCCCTTTTTTTCCTTAGCATTTTTGAATCATTTAAGGATATCAGACTATCTAGTACACAATTTGAGGTAATCATTGCTTTTCCCTTCAATATATTAACACTTTGTATTATGGTGATTGGGTTTTTTTTTTTTTTTTGTGCGTTGAACCAACTTTGTCTTTCTAAGATAAATCTTAGTTGTGGTGCACCATCTCCTTTGCTGTTGATTTTTGTTTTCGTCAGTGTTAAGATTTTTGATTCAGTATTTTAAGATGCGAATCTGTAGTTTTTTTTTTTTTGTGGTGTCTTTGTCTGAATTTTCTTTCAGAATAATGCTGACTCCTATAAGGAGCTAGAAAGCCATCGCTCATGCATTTTCTTGAAAGTTTGAAGAGGGTTGGTATTAATTTTCCTTTAAGTGCTCAGCAGATTCATCCACAAAACCACGTCCTTGCTTTCCTTTGCTGAGAGAGTTTAGAGTCGCCTTCTCTGCCTATGATGAGTCTTCTCACATTTTGGCTCCCCATTAGGCCAGTTTTCATCATTTGTGTTCTTGGAATTGTGGTTTTCATTTACATGATCTCTTTTCTTGGTCAAATGTTCTTAAAAATTAGTTCCATGTCATTATTTTTTTAACAACACCAGCTGTAAATTTCCTGCATTTAGTGGGCTGCAAGTTCAATTAGACACACTTTGGTTACCCCTACCATAAGGGCCACTGTTGCACCATTTAGCTGTCTTGTAGGGCTGTTCATTTTGTGGTTCACAGGTTTTAAAGCTTGGTAGGGTTACTGATTGCTTTTCTCTCTTTGCATCTTATATAGTAACTTCTAATAGTATGAGAACGAGTCCTCAAGGAAAGGGCTTCTGGGCCAGGTCCAACCCAATCCCTTTAAGTCTTATGTCTGAGGTGTGTAGTGCTTTTATCAATAGGGTCTTACTTTCTGTTTCTGGTAGGCAACAAAGGCCATAGTTTATATTGTGCAGGGAGATGCCTGGACTTTCCTGACCATCAACTCAAAAACTGGAGGCTTACCAAGCATGCCACTGGGGTTTTTGTTAAATAGTCTATGGCTCTTGGGTGGAGAAATGTCATAACTTGTCATAACTTTGCTCTCCATTCTGCGATTAGTGTATTCAAAGTATTACAAAATCCTGATGTTAAAAAATACTATTCATTTGTTTCACTAGTTCTATGATTTTTCTGGTCTCTATATTATTTATTTCATCCATAATTCATATAGTTCCTTGTTCCAGTTATCTTTCGGTTTAGCTCGTTTTTCTTGTAAAGACAGTAGTATCAAGTTTTGACATTAATTTGAACTTATTCTTGTTTTAAAATAAAATATTGGTGTTTGCAGATGGAAATATATCTCTAATCACTGCATATTTATTATTTTGTAATTAGATATATTGCTTCCACTTTCAGTATGTTTTCATTTTCCTTTGGACTTATTCATTTCTTATTTATTTTAAAATCATTTGTGTTACATGAGAGCAGGCAAGTTTATTTTTTTGTTTGTTTGTTTTGCTTTTAGAGAAAGGGTTTCTCTGTAGCTTTGGACCCTGTCCTGGAACTAGCTCTTGTAGACCAGGCTGGCCTCAAACTCACAGAGATCCACCTGCCTCTGCCTCTCAAGTGCTGGGATTAAAGGCATGAGTTCGAGGCTAACTTGGTCTACAAAGTGAGTTCTAGGACAGCCAGGGTGGTTACAGAGAGAAACCCTGTCCCAAAAAACAAAAACAAAAAAATCATGTGCATATGTGTGTGTGTGTGCCTATGGAGCCAGAAGAGGGACTTGGATTCCCTACAGATGGAGTTGCAGGTGGTTAGGAGCTGTCTGATATGGGTGTTGGAAACAGGACTCATGTCTCTGCAAAAACAGGAAGTGCTTTTAACCACTGAGTGATTTCTCCAGCCCCATGGTTTGATTATGTTTTCTCATATCATATCATATCATAATTAGTTGTCTGGGCTATTTGGAAATATATATATATTTCTTCTCACTTATCTTTCTATTATTAATTTGTTTTTTTCATTATGTTTAAAATGTTCTTTTTCTCCCATTTTAACCAGCTTTCAACTTTATTGAGATTTGTTATTTGGTCTAGCACGTGATCCATGCTGGGAAGTCTTCTGTGTGCCGAGCAGCCTCACCTGGTTGTGAGGGTTGCTGCAGTGCTCTGCTTCCTGACCACACTCCCTGTGGCTCTGTCTACTGCGACAGGAGCTTTCTAAGCTTCCGATCGCTATTGCAGTGCTGCATATACTCCCATCTCCCTCAGCAAACTCTGTCTCGATTCCCCATGGCTCTCTTGTCTATGTGCTGAGCATTGCCACTTATTGTCGGTGAGCTGATAGTTTGATCAGTTTATAATGGTCCTCTTGTTCTCCTGCCACGTTTTTCCTCAGTCTTTCCGGTCTGGTGTAAATTCTGTACTCAATGTATAAGGTCACCTTGGTACTTTTGTTCTCAGTGTCTGATTCCCTCCATGGTGGGTTTCAGCATGCAGGGGAAACTGCAGGCACTAGGGAGAGTGGCTGAGCTTACAGCAGTGTTTGTCCTGCAAAGTCCTGATATGAGTGGGCTCTGCAGGTGTGGAATGTCAGGCTAGCATCCCTCAGAGGGTGTCTATGAGCACATTGAAGTTGTCTTCATAGAAGGAGAGGAAGGGACTCTAAAATCCAAGAGCCTTGTGCATAAAGAAGATGGTGGCCATGTGGAAGAGCCCAAAGGCATCCTGGGAAGGATATGGAAGAGACTGGGCACTCCTCATTCTGGAAAGTGTGCCTTTGTTTTCCCGGGTCCACTCACTATTCCTGCTCTACTGTTCCCAGTAGGGCCTTCACGATGACCGGCACCTACATTTTACAGACCCAAATGTCACTCCCCTGTGTCCCTGACCAGTGCTTACATATCTCGGCTGGGATGCTAGTTCATATACCATTTCTTTCAAGGTTGGTCCTTAAACTGGGGTCCTCTACTAAGTAGGCAAAGCCTCAGAGTGAGTGGTCCTTGCTCTTTCTCGGGGTTCTTATGAGGTGTGCACACAGTCCTTTTGGCAGCTGATTCCTTATGGCAATCATTGCCAGTCCTTTCCAGAAACCTCTGTGGTTCCACCATGGCTCTTGTTCTGGGTCTTTCTTCTCTTCCAAACCTGGAACATTCGTTTGCATTTGAGGCCAAGGGTTTTGGGTTTCCCACTCACCTTCTTTTCCTTTGGAGGAGAGACTGACTCCTGATGTGGCCTGGTGTTGACCTTCTTGCAGCCTCGAGGCATGGCTTTCCCAAGCTCATTGGCCTGTTGATACATTTGAGGCTTTAGAATTTGTCTGTCTACCATGTCTTTTGTCTAGCACATACTGGAAGATGAATGGTGACCAACGCCATCCAATATTTTCAGATCACTTGTGGTCATATTTATTCAGAATCCCATCCTCCATAGCCAGAGTATTCTTGGATTACAATTCTCATGAAACCAACCCATGGTCACACTCTCTGCATCTTCCCACTAATGACCCCTGTGTGCTATCTTCTCACTGAATGAGAACTATATGAAAAAGACATCTACTTTCCTCTCCCACACAACCTGTCTGGGAAGTATGTTTCCTGGTGTCCTCTCCCTGTGCCATGTGGACCGGCTTGCACGTTTGTGTTAGCATGGGCCCGCATGAAGTCCTGGCAAAGCTTGGCTTCTCTTGGTCTTCAGTTCTAACATCGACCCTCATATCGTGTTACAGCAGAGAACAGAACCTTTTCTGTTATAGACAAATGGACTGCCATGGGGCCTGCCTGGTTCATAGAGGTTCTTCTAAGAGTCTTGGTCCCAATTTTCCTGGACTATTAAGCACTGTTAAACATGCCGTCAGGACAATGGCATGTAGGATGGGAGTTGGTGACCAGGATATGATAGCTCAGTCAAAAGCCTGAGGTTTTGCTGAGGATTCCCAGTTAGAAGAGGGTTGCTGTCTTGTCTGCTTCCATATGGCTGGGTCCTGTCTCCTTACTGGGAGTGGATATCCACTTTACTTCTCTTGCCTGTCTCCCTCCTCATACTTCTCATTCTTTCCCACCCAGAAGCTTCACAAACCTCCTGAGCACCTTGTTGGCGGTGGCTCCAGGTTCTTTCATGCAGTTGGAAAGTTTAAAAATGAGAGGCTTCTCATTTGTTAGCTGGATGTGTAGACATTTCTGTGACCTCTGGTGGAGTGAACTCGTAGGGGCCCGAAGAGAAGCTCCCAGAGAGGGAGAGAAATGTGACGTGATGAAATTTTTAAGTCTATTTACTAATGACTAACCAATCTCGGAAAGACCCCAGTCCTTGTCCAGATCTTCTGTTTGAGGGAGGGAAAGATCCTTACTGTCCTGCTTGACTCCAGTTTCATGAGGCACAGCCATTGAGAACTTGCTGGGAGGCTTCTTGGCCCCCTTCCACCTGGGGTTGCGCTGGGTACCAGCTGCAGGAAGCACACTACTGGTGTGGCACAGTGAGTGGAAGCCTTCGTTGGGTTACAGATGCCAGCTCTGATGTAGGGGAGGCTCCCAGGGTGTTTACAGGCTCTGGCTCTAGAACAGCATCACCGTAAATTAGAGCCCACCTTTTGCCTGGAGGCAGAACAAGTACCTATACTGAGACTATCAGTTTGGGGAGCTGACCCTGCCGTGGGATCCAGAATGGCAGGATCCTCTCTGGCTCTGTTTCTCTTGCTGCTGACCTGCTGGACCCTCCCTACTGGTGAGTGTACACTGCTGTTTACTGCTGGTCAGGGAGGCAGGTGTGAAAAATATTGGCCACGGAGGGCAGCGGTGGCTTAGTGCCGGTGATGTCTGATGCTTTATTTCTTTGTGTTCGTTTCTGTTTTGCTAAAGCAACCATTTTGATTCTGTGATGATTCTGTGATAATTCAGAATATTCATAGCGAGGGAATCTAAAAAAAAGAGGGAGTAACTGGTCAACCGTGACGATGAGTGAGTTTTCTAGTCAAGGAGAACTTGGAATGTGAAATCCCCACCCAGTATTTGTCTCCATCTGACTCACGTCTTATCTTGGAAGGACTGACTGGGGAAGATGCCCTGAATCTCATAGATGGTACAGACCAATGCGATGGCCGTCTGCAAGTGGAGCACGGCGGGCATCAAGGCCTCGTGTGTGCTGACCACTGGGGCATGCAGGAAGCTTCTGCGACCTGCAGACAACTTGGCTGCAGCCATGCACGCTCTACCTACCAGTTTATTCTGAGGCCTGAAGAGATGAAGGCACCCTGGCTGTATGGTACCAACTGTAGCGGTGAGGAGGCCACCCTCTGGAATTGTACTCTAGGGACCTGGGGGCCCCTCAGTGACTGCAAGTGCCAGTGTGTGGTGTCAATTAACTGCGCAGGTGAGCCAGATGGGGCCTACTCAAATCCCTAGTCTCCCCTGATCTCCTTTCCTGCCTTGTAGCTAGAGGCATTGAGGTAAATATCCAGGCAAGGAGGGGTGTGGTCAGGTGGGAGCCTCTTGCCCTCAGAGAGTCCCATGGTGAGAGACCATGGGGGAAGCTTACCTTCTCTGTTCTAAAGAAAACCAGTTCCCACTCTCCTTGTTCGCCTCCTCAATAATTTTTTTCCTGTTTTTTTTTTTTTATGTCAACCATTGGCTCTGAATATCACAGATGTACCTAGATTACCTCAGGGAACACCTAGGGGGTCCCTATACACTGTCACTGTACCAGGCACAACTTAAGTCAGGGGGAGAGGATGGGTTGTGAGGAACGAGCCCTGTCCCAAGCTCTCCTGTGAGTTGCCGTCTCTCCCGTACACGTCCTGTCTGTGATAGTATTCTGGGAGGAGGGCTCTGTTTGCCCGTTTTTCTGGGGTAGTGGTAAAGGTTAGCAACACCACCAGGGATCCTATGCACTTGCTTCAAACTAAAAATGCCTGTCTGCAGACCCTGATCGTGCTCTCTTGGCAGCGGCTTTTAGGAGTGGGTTTTTCTCCTGTGCCACCAGGTGCTAGCTTTCAGCAAGTCATACTGGCCGGAGGTGCCAGTCCGTGCGCTGGGTCTCCCGAGTTGTTGAGTGGGTCTTTCCCCATCCTGAAGTGCGACCTGCAGAAGGAAGAGGCAAGTGTCCTGTGCAGAGACCTGGGGTGTGGCACCGCTCTGCAGTGGTCCAGAGCTCACCAAGGAGCAGGGACTGGAAATCAAGACCAGAAGTTTGTGTCTTGCCAAGGCACGGAGCCTAGCACTTCCTTCTGCAAGATCAATGTGAACTTTGTGGAGCAGTGTGACCTTGTGTCTTACACCCAGGTGGTGTGCACAGGTAGGAATGCCCTATGATGAGTGTGTGTTAGTGTGGAGAGTGGGTGTCTCTACATGAGCAAATGGGATCAGGCATCTGCCCCACAATACAAGGTCAACAGAATCCTAGTTATGCCATGGTTGACACCATTCCACACTGCTACCAGGAGCTATTGGGAGATCCCTCTGTCCGCAAATCTGTTGTTGGTGTTACTCTGCCCAGGATTTCTTTCCAGTTTGGACCTTGGAGCTGATAGACTGTTAGGACTGATAGATAGTGCCCATCTATCTTGATGAATCAGAGGTACCCATTTCTTCCTTGAAGTAAAAGGGGAATGTTGTGGTCAAAATCTGTGTGGGGTTCATTCATGATTTGAAGGAAAGCAAGAGGAGGGGTTCTTGGTCTGTAGACCTAGGACTTGTCCTATTGGCCTCTGTGCCAGGCCTGGTCAGATTGCCTTGTGTCCTTCCATATTGTTTTCCTTTGGGGAGTGGATATCAGCTGTCAGGTCACTTCACCTCCATGGCCGGCACAGAGTCTGTCTGACTACAGTCACTCTGTTCCATGTCTGTCCCAGGAGGCCAACTAATGGGATGTGAGCATTCCCTTTGTCGTGCTGAATTGAATTTGTTCGTGGCTCACCTGCTTTTCTGCGGGCTGGGCTCTGGGGTGGCCACGTCTACATTCAGAAGTTTCTACTCTGGCCTGTCTGGAGAGGCCTTCCACTACTGTGTCATTGAGTTGCTGTTGTTCCACTGCCTGAGGGAGCATGGGACTCTTGTGGCCATGACCAGAATGCTGTGCTCACCTCCTCCAAGGAAAGTGAGTCAGATTATAGCCTGGTGGGGTAGGGCCTGTGGTGTTGGTTAGTTCTGGGTTAGGTTGATGGACGGTGATCATCACGGACAGCTATTCAGGCAGCTCAGGTGAGCATCCTCTGTTCCAGAGGGTTTCTCACCTCCCACTCACCTTCTTCTCAAGCCTTTTGCGTTTGGAAAACTATCAACTCAGCTCTGTCACAGATCTCAGAACAGAGGGTAGTTTTGGGGAGAAGTATTGATGGCTTGCATATTCTCTATGGCGGACCTTGATAACACATGCTTCACAGCCCTACCCTATGTACCATTTCCCCCGGTGATGAGGTCCGTTTGTATACATAGTTCAACTTTGCTTCATTCCAACCAGTTTTCTGCCTTGGGCTTGTTCTTCAGTGTCACAACTAAAGCTTGACTTTACAAGTCCAAGGTCCTGCAGAATTACCTCCTGTTTTCTGGTAAGACAATTTTCCCTCAGCACTGTGTCCAGGACTATGATTCGTTTATTGTTCATGGAGTACTGATTCCATGTAACTCATGCGGATATCCTGTTTCCCCAGCACTTGGAGACATTGTTCTTCCTACATGAGTAGACACTACCCCCTTTTCAGAAACCATATACATGTGAGATGATCTCTGCCCCTCCAGTTTGTTTTCACTGATCTCAATGTCTAGCCTCAAGCCATGCACAGTGCTTTGGTTCATGTGACTTTGTCTTTATTGGGTGTGTGTTCCATTCTTTGGTTTTTGTTGCTCCTTCTGGATCTTAGGAAAGTGTAGTGACTGCAGGTCCCTTGGTAGAGAGTGCTTCTTCAGGTCAGCTGGTGCTGAGAGGACGAGAGATGATTTGGAGAGAAGTCTGAAAGGGCCTTTGGGGAAGAGCTGTGAGGACCCCAGGGAGTTGGTAGTGTGGTTGGAGGAGTGAATCCTGCAGGTGGGCTGCAGTAGGACAATGGATGTATCTGGAAGGACAGTGACCATAGAATTAGAGGACCTAGGGACTCTACCAAGAGTTGGAGTTTCTACTGAACGGAGTTCAGTTGTGAGGATGGGAACCTGTGAGCCAGATGCCAAAATGTCTTAGTTAGGGTTGCTATTGCTGTGATAAAGCACCACAATCAAAAGTAACTTGGGGAGAAAAGGCTTTCTTTCACTCACAGTTCCATATAACAGTTTATCATTAAAAGTAGTGAGAGCAGTTCCTATTCAAGCAGGGTCAGGAACCTGGAAGCAGGAACTGATACAGAACTGATACAGTAAGCCAGTTGCTTACTGGCTTGCTCCAAGTGGCTGGCTCTGCCTGCTTTATTATAGACACCAGGGCTATCAGCCCAGGGATGGCCCCACCCACAATGACCTGGGTCTTTTCACATCAATCAATAATTAAGAAAATGCTCAACAGGTTTGCCACAGCCAAATCTTTTTTTCCCCCTTATTTATTTGTTTATTTATTTAAAGAATTTCCACTTCCTCCCCTCTTCCCAATACCCTCCTGCTCCCCCCACTCCCTCTCCTCCTCCCTCACCATTCCCAAGAGCAGTCAGGATTTCCTGCCCTGTGGGAAATTCAAGTTCCTCCCCCCTCCCTCCAGGTCCAGGAAGGTGAGCATCCAAATAGGCCAGGATCCCAAAAAGCCAGTCCATGCAGACGAAACAAGACCCAGTGCCATTGTCAATGGCTTCTCAGTCAGCCCCCATGTCAGCCACATTCAGAGAATCCAGTTTGATCACATGCTCGTTCAGTCCCAGTCCAGCTGGCCTTGGTGAGCTCTCATTCGATCAGTCCCCTTGTATCAGTGGGTGAATGCACCCTTCGCGGTCCTGACTTCCTTTTTCAGGTTCTCCTTCCTTCTGCTCTTCATTTGGACCTTGGGGGCTCAGTCCAGTGCTCCAATGTGGGTCTCCGTCTCTATCTCCATCCATTGTCGGATGAAGGCTCCCTCTGGTTCTGCTTTCCTTGCTCACGATCTCCCTCCCTCTGCTTCTCATTTGGACCTAAGGAGTTAAGTCCAGTGTTCCAATATGTGTCTCTGTCTCTATCTCCATCTTTCGCCATATGAAGGTTCTGTGGGAGATGGTTAGGGAGAGGGGAGAGGGGGAGGATTGGGGATGGCTTGGGGGAATGGAAGGGGGGAGGGAGGAAGGATGGTTATGGGAGCAGGGAAGTTTATATCTCAACTAAGGGAGCCATTTTAGGGTTTGCAAGAGACTTGATTCTGGAGGGGTTCCCAGGCCCAAGGAGAGGTCCCCAGATTGTTCCCTGGGCAGCAGAGTAGAGGGTGCCTGAACTGACCTTGGCTCATAACCATACTGATGAATATTTTGCATGTCGCCACAGCCAAATCTTATGGAGGTATTTCCTCAACTGAGACTCCTTTCTCTTTGAGGACTCTAGCTTGTGTCCAGTTGATGTAAAACTAGCCAGCACAGTGAGAATGAAGAGATTGTAATAGAAAACAAGAAGAGTGGTGAGAATTGCCTACTTGACACCAAGGCTAATTATTTTATTTGTATACACCCTAGTATTCTTTGTAATATTATTTGAGAATTTCGTGTATGAGTTCTGTATTTATATAATTCTTCCACTTCCTATATATTCATCATGTCCCTCCACTCCCTTTCAAATTCCTGATTTCCTATTTTTAAATTATAATTATTAAATATATGCATATCAGTTTATAACCACACCCTGCTGAGATCATTAGTGTTGCTCATGTGTTCAGGGCTGATTCTTGGGACTGGCTGGCTTAGCAGGAGTCTAGTTTCTGTTGAGAACTGATTCTCCCTCTCCCATCAACCAACAAGTGCCTGTAGTTCTTATTCTAGGGGTGAAGCTCAAGAGAATTTCCCCATCCATGTCGGCATGTCAATTGGTGCTGTCATTTTTTTTTTAGGTATTCTTTCGGTAGTCATATTTTTGTGATCTCTTGGGTACAGTTTCTTTGTCATTTATAGAAGACACTATCTTGCAGCTCTATCCTGGACCTCTTAACAGTTTTAATAGGAAACCTTAAATTTTTATTGACTCTAAATGCTGCAACTTATGCAGAAAGTTCTGGATATACCTTTATATTTGCGGAGACCTGTCAGCACAAATGAAGCTCGTTACTTATTCCTTGCACACGAACCAGTCAGTTCAAAAGAAGGAAATGGCGATCACTGCACATTCCACCTCTTAGAAACAAATGTGTGAAACCAAATGGTGTGGATCTATTGAGAGGTTTCTTTGCAGAAAACCAGATGCAAACTCACAGGGCAAAGTCCATCAGTGTGTATTGTGTTTCCCCCTGACATTCAATTGCTCAGAATGCCTCACCATTAAGTAGACGTATGTGCCATGTTTGAAATGGTGGCATCATATCTACTTACTCAGTTGTTCATTAGTTTTTATACCAACCATATTGTATGAATTTCTTGTGTGGCTACCTTGTAAGCAGGTGTGTTTCCATAGGGAGTTATGTATCCCTGATGGCTACACATAGGACAAGTATTCAGATTTGGGGATGAAATTGCTAAGTCTGTCTGTTCATGCTATACTGATCTTAAAAGTGCTCAGATGTTCAGACAGAGTTTCTGTTTGAGGCAGAGAAAAGTTCTTGCTGTCCTTCCTGGTTCTGGACTTAGTAGCTGCAGCCTCTGTGACCTTGTTAGGTGGAGGATCCTTGACCTCCTCATTTCTGGATCTGTATTGGGCTCTGACTGCTGGAGGCATCAGACTGATGGTGCTGTCTGGGCCCTGACACAGAGGGTGAGTTTCCGCTATGAGTGACAGATGAGTGTCCTGATGTGGGGCAGACACTCAGGGTGCTTATGGTCTCTATCCAGGACACCATCACTCTAAATTAGAGTGATATCATTCTAAATAGGAGGCAGAGACACTGGTACCCTCTGACCAATGCAACAGGTAGTGTGCAGAGGTAGAGATGCCTCACCCTGAGCATTTTAGTTTAGATGTTGGATATCTCGAGATGAGCAAAGGAGATTTATCTATCTGTCTCCAAACATAGAGTCAATAGAATTCTCTCCCTTGAAGAGTTTGTCACCATTACTACTGAAGTGATTCAGGGTGGTCCCGGGGTGTCCTTGGATAGTGTCATTGTACCGTGTGTTCTGCCCATAGCTCATATTTAGTCTGCACTCTGGGTTTGAGGAGCTGTTGGGGTACAACCCATTTGCCTTGCTTGTGATGATATGAGGTCCATGTCTCTCTAGAAGCAAAAATCCTAGGAGAATATTTATGGTCAGAATCTGTGTGGGTTCCAGCTTCCAAGTGAGGTACGAGGAGCAGCTTTAACATCCTTGTGTAGAGCTCAGAAGTTGCCTTGTAGGCCACTGTGCCAGGATCAGGAGAGGCTGTCCCTGTCCTCCTATACAATTCCTCACTGGGGGACTCGGTGGCAGTCATCACTTCACTCCAGTGACCTGCAGGAGCCCTGCCTTGACCTCAGTTGCTTCATTTAGTGTTTGTCTTCAGGTCATGTGGAGGCCCGGCTGCTGGGCGGCACACACCCCTGTGAAGGACACCTGGAGGTTCTTCGAGGACTTACCTGGGGCTCTGTCTGCTATGATGACCTGGACCTGCCCATGGCCCACGTGGTTTGTCAGGAGCTGGGGTGTGGCACCGCTGTATCCATACTCGAGAGTTCCCACTTTGGCCATGGATCAGGGCCTGTGTGGACAGAGGCCTTTCGCTGTGTGGGCAATGAATCACTGCTGTTCCATTGTCAGAGGGAGCCTGGACACCAGTGTGGCCATGATCGAGATGCTGCATTAACCTGCTCAGGGGAAAGTGAGTCCGTTCACAACCTAGAAGGGTGTTGGGCTGTGTTAGTGGGATCAATGATCTGAGTGATGGACTGTGATGAGCATGGATGGACAGTTGTGGGTGGATGCTCAGGACTTGTGTTCTCTTCTGTCATGGAAGTTCTATGGTCTCTTTTTCACGTTTCTCTCCTCTCATGTGCCTGCTTTCCTTTTTCACCTTTGGGGAAATGACTGCACAGCTGTCACAGATCTCAGAACAGGGGGTAGTACTGATGGTTCCTCATATTCTCTATGGCAGGCCTTGGTAATACAATGCTCACAGCCCCACCATGTGCGTTATTTCCCTGGTGATGAGGTCTGCTTGTATACACAGTTCAACTTTGCTTCATTCCAACCAGTCTTCTGCCTTGTCTTGTTCTTTGGTGTCACACCTAAAGCTTGGCTTTACAAGTCCAAGGAGGTCTGCTCCCCTCAATGTAGATCTTGTGCGATTTATCTTTTAAGATGTGTATTCTGTAAAATATTTCCTGTGTTTAATTAATATGTACTTAGTGTCTATTTAAGGGGTGCAGTCTGGCATGGTAATTCATGTTATAATGTGCACTGGTCAGGTCTGGGTAACTAGGGTGTCTGTCATCTTAGACATGGCTTTTTTGTTGAGAAAATTCAACACCTTATCCTCTAACTATTTTGAAATATTCCACAAGTTGTGGTCAGCCACATTAGAGAGCATTATAAGTCCGGTTGTTCCATGACACATTTAACCGTTCTCCCTCAACTCTCCAACCCTTCTTGGCTCTGGTAACCGGTATGTGATTCTGTCCTGCTGTTCTATCAACATCTTTCTCATGAAGATGAGAACTTGTGTTTTGTTTCACCTAGTGATTTATTTTGCTTAATGTCTTCTTTTCTGTGTATATTCCTCCAGATGGCAGAGTTCAGTCTTCCCAGTGGCTGAGATACCTATCATCTTGTTCACACACTGTCTTAGTTAGAGTTTCTGTTGCTATGATGAGACAACATGACTATGGTAACTCCTATAAAGGAAAATATTTAATTGGTGGTGGCTTACAGCTTCAAAAGTTTAGTTCATTATCATGGTGGACATGGCAGCATGAAGGGAGACATGGTGCTGGAGAAGGAGCTGAGAGTTCTATATCTCAATCCCCAGGCAACAGGAAGTGAACTGTGTCATTGAGAGTAGCTTGAGTATAGGAGACCTCAAAACCTACCCACACAGTGACACTTCCTCCAACAAGATCACAGCTACAGCAGCAAGGCCACACCTCCGGATAGATCCACTTCCTATGGGCAAACATTCAAACGCGTGTGTCTATGGGGCCCATAGCTATTCACATTATCACACACCTTGCTTTCCTTTCCAAGTCACTCTTTAAGGGATACCTAAGTCGACTCCATGGCCCACTGTGGATAGTGCTGAAATAAACACATCTTCCACATGCTCTTTTGAGTGCCTTTGACTAGATGACCAGAAGTGGGATTATTGACCTGTGTGGCTATTCTATTCCTGGTTTTCCTAGGAAGCCTCATATTGCATGTATAGCTTTAGATACTGAATGAAATTCAGGATTTTTTTTTAAAACTGAGATTGGTTCTATCCCTTTCTTTTCAGTATGTTCTTTATAAACATGCTTATCTGCTTAGGGATACCCCAGAGGTCTCCAGGGCACTGTTCATTTGGGATAACATCAGTGGGTCTATCATTATGTTCCTTGATTCTTCTGTTCTACCCTTAAATCCCGGCAGTCATATCCTTGGACTACACAATTTTCTTTTTGGTTCATTTCATCATTCCTGACAGGTTGTTGAGATTCAGTTTACAGGGACATTGCTCATAGTCCTCACATTTTCCAGTTCTTTTCATACTTTCTAACAGATTAAAGACCTCATGCTTAGGATTGTGTGGTATGTTGCTTTTGGAGCTTCTTTTCATAGATAAAATGGTTATTGAGGCAACACAGAGAGATTTCCTTTAGTGATCAGAAAAAACTATTCTTCTCTTAGTCTGTAGGTTAATTCTCTGTTGTATTCCTGACTGGTCTCCAGGCCTCTTAATTGCCCAGTTTTCTACCTGCTTGTGTGTAGTCAATGTTGAAGGCATCATCTCACTAGAGATGTCCCATATTCAATTTCAAGAAATTTGATGCATCTAGTTTCCCCAGCATGATCCCTGAGTTAGGAAGAGTAGAGGTATTGGGGATGTGAGGGCTTGGGGAGAAGGGGATGGAGTTGGTAGGGTCGGGGTGCAGGAGCTACTTAGCCTACCTTCAATAGCAGCACCCTGCAAAGACACTCTTCTGCTTAGTCAGTTTGCACGTGTCCCGTGTGTAAGAAACTCACACTGAACGCGGGTGTCCGCAGCTCTGGGATGTGGAGATTTCACTGATCCCAGCTCTCCCTTAGAGTTCCGGCTGGTCAATGGCAGTGGCCGCTGTGAGGGCCGCGTGGAGCTTCGGGTAAAGGAGAACTGGCTGCCCCTCTGTGCTGCCCACTGGGACCTAGCAGACGCCATGGTGCTCTGCCACCAGCTCAACTGTGGCCGTGCAGTGGTCATACCCCATGGAGGCCACTTTGGAAATGTGAGGGAACCTATCTGGACAGATGTGTTTCGCTGTGTGGGGACAGAGCCTCACTTGCTGAGCTGCCCAGCAAGCACCCTAGGGACCCAGGCATGCACCCTGGAAAATCCAGCCTCTGTTATCTGTTCAGGTGAGTGCAGGCAGTCATGAGACTGTGAAGGAGAAGGTAAGCAGGACTGATGGACAGAGGCAGGAAAGGGAAGGATGAAGACACGTGAGGCTCTTCGATGCAATGGTCCTCTGCCCTTCAGAGTTTCTCTCTGTCAGGTCTCCAGGACGCCCTGCGGCTGAGGGATGGGCAGAGCCACTGTGACGGGCGAGTGGAAATCTTTCTGGATGGTGTGTGGGGGCGTGTGCTGGACAATGCCTGGGACCTGCATGATGCTGCTGTGGTGTGCCGACAGCTGGGATGCGGAGAGGCACAGCAAGCCTATGATGCTCCAGCACCGGGCCACAAGACAGTCCCTGTGGGGCTGAGCCTGGTGCGGTGCTTGGGCTCTGAGACCCACCTGACTCGGTGCAATGTGTCCGTGTCTCAGCTGGTGACTGCGGGGACTTTGCAGGATGCGGGCGTGGTATGCTCAGGTGAGTGTGAGTGTGGGGTGTCCTCTCCTCTCCCCTCCCCCCACCCTGGGTTCCTGCTTTGCTCTTGCAGTCCAGTGTGCCCTGACTGGGTCTCTCCTCTCTGCAGGGAGTTTGCGCATACGGTTGGCAGAGGGTAAGGGCCGCTGTGCTGGGCGTGTTGAAGTGTTCTATCAGGGCACATGGGGCACTGTATGCGATGATGCCTGGGACCTGCGCGATGCCCACGTCGTCTGCAGGCAGCTGGGCTGTGGCTATGCCCTTAGTGCCCCCGGGGCTGCCCATTTTGGAGCAGGTACTGGGCGCATCTGGATGGACGAACTGGGCTGCCTGGGTGAGGAGGCTGCTCTCTGGGAGTGCCAGTCTGGAGGCTGGGGCCAACACGACTGTGGGCACAAGGAGGACGCAGGCGTGGTCTGTTCAGGTGGGTGCTACAGGTCCAGTTTGACACATCCTAGTTCTCCCCAACTCTGCCTGGCTGACTGGACCCTCTCTCTGCAGAATTCACTGATATAAGGCTGCAGGAACACAGCCAGGCATGCACAGGACGCCTGGAAGTTTTCTACAATGGGACCTGGGGTGGCGTTTGCCAGTCTTTGAATGCTGCCTCCCTGAGGGTTCTGTGTGAACAACTGGGCTGTGGGTTCCAAGGGCAGCTGCTGGCCAGACCGAGGAGCTCATCTACACTTGAGACTGTCTGGTTGAAGTCCATTCAGTGCAGAGACAAGCATGACAGGTCCTTGTGGCAATGTCCCTCAGAGCCCTGGAACAGGCATTCTTGCCTCAGTGGAGAGGAGGCTTGGCTGCTGTGTACAGGTGAGCTGTGTTGTGAGTTCCCAAGGGGTCTCACTGGGGCTCTGGGTGGGGTGTGGCTCATAGAGACTCAGCTCAGGATCCTCTTGCTTCCTGTTTCTCCTAAAGATGGTTCAGAGGGGGAATAGTGTGTGGAATTCTCAGGCTTTGTGGCTCTCCTTTGAGACCTAGAGAGTTTTCTCCCTCTAGTTATGGGGAGACAGCATGAGAGAAAGAAAGTAGTTCCTAGGTTTTAGGTTCCTGAGCTTGTGACATTGGTATGTTTCTTACGCAGAAAAGACAGAAGTTTCTCAGGATATGCAGCAGGTTCCCAATTGCTCATCAGCACTTAGCTGCCCAGGTAACTCTCCCTCCACAAGTCTCCTAAGAACCTATCAGCCCGAAAGCATCATGCACTGATTGTTGACCCCTTTTACAGAGGAAGGCGCGCTTCGCGTGTTTGGGGGTGAGGATGGCTGCTCTGGACGAGTGGAATTCTGGCATGCAGGTTCTTGGGGCACAGTGTGCGATGACTCCTGGGACCTGGCAGATGCAGAAGTTGTGTGCCGGCAGCTGGGCTGTGGCCCGGCCATAGCTGCCTTGCATAATGCTGCCTTTGGCCCTGGTTCAGGGCCTATATGGCTAGATGAAGTGGGATGCCGAGGCAGTGAGACATCTCTGGGAGCCTGCCAGGCAGAACCGTGGGGCTATGGAGACTGCTCCCACAAGGAGGATGCTGGTGTACACTGCCTAGGTGAGTGAGGCAGCAGACAGTGGTGGGAAGAGGAAGGCCAGATCGATATTTCTGCCTATTTTCTACCCTTATTCTGATCAGACACATCCTTGAGCACAGAACCCCAACGTTTAGGGTATCATTGGTGCTCCAGGGACTGATTGCCACCCTCGGTCCTATATAGCTCATGCTGACATACTGGCTGCCACCTACAAGGTATGGGCCCATCTGTGTCATTGAAGGTGGTTGGTAATTCCCAACCTGCATTTCTTTTGCAGATATCTCTGGGACCATGGCATCAGGTAAGTGGTTCTTTGTTAATCCTTCCCTCCACTCATCCATCATTACTGGAACAGCCTGCAAAGGCACCCTTTCCTGACCTTTCTTGAGAACCGCTGAGACCACATGCCACAGGCACACTTTGCATCAGGTATAAGTCTGTGGGGATGATCTCCCAGTCTGTGATGGAAACTGTTCATCTCTCCTGTGCCTGCTGGATGGGAGAACATGGGGACCAAACTCCCGGGCCATAAGCAGCTCCTTCTTGGAGCCTTAAACTTGCAGACCATGTGGTTTTGTCGGAGTAGACTGTATTCTAGTGTGTCCATAACAGAGCAGAGGGAAAGACAATGAGACCCCCCCCCCCCACAAACTTTCAACTTTCTCCTTTCTTCAACTCAGGACTGAGCACTTGGGTCCTCTTTCCTGGGGCATCTTGCCTTGTTAACACAGATGATCTTTTCTTTTCATTGTTTATTGAGCGATATGTTTTTTTCCACTCCCCTCCTTTCCTCCCCTATCCTCTTCTATCCTCTCTTATGATCCCCACACTTCCATTTTACTCAGGAGATCTTGTCTTTTTTCTATTTCCTGTGTAGATTAGCTCCATGTATGTCTTTGGGTCCTCTTTGTTGTCTAGGTTCTCTGGGTTTGTGAACTATAGGCTAGTTTTCTTTGTTTTATACATAAAAGCCACTTATGAGTGAGTACATATTATATCTATCTTTCTGGGTCTGGGTTACCTCACTAAATATGATGTTTTCTAGATCCATCCATTTGTCTGCAAAATCAAGATGTCACTATTTTTTTCTGCTGTGTAGTACTCCGTTGTGTAAATGTACCACATTTTCTTTATTCATACCTTGATCAAGGGACATTTAGGTTGTTTCCAGGTTCTAGCTATAACAAATAATGATGCTATGAACATAGCTGAGCACATGTCCTTGTGGCAAAATTGAGCATCCTTTGGGTATATACTCAAAAGTGGTATTGCTGGTTCTTGAGGTAGGTTGTTTCCTAATTTTCTGAGAAATCGCCATACTGATTTTCAAATTGATTGAACCGGTTTGCACTCCCACCAGCAATGGAGGAGTGTTCCCTTTACCACACATCCTCTCCAGCACAAGCTGTCATCAGTGTTTTTGATCTTGGCCATTCTTACAGGAATCTCAGAGTTGTTTTCATTTGCATTTCACTGATGGCTAAGGATGTTGAGTATTTCCTTAAGTGTCTTTCATCCATTTTAGATTCTTCTGTTGAGAGTTCTCTGTTTAGGCCTGCACCCCATTTTCCATTGGATTATCTGTTCTTTTGATGTCTAATCTCCTGAGTTCTTTGTATATTTTGGAGATCAGCCCTCTCTCCAATGTGGGGTTGGTGAAGATCTTTTCCCACTCTGTAGGCAGCCATTATGTCTTGTTGACCATGTCCTTTGCTTTACAGAAGCTTCTCAGTTTCAGAAGATCCCATTTATTAGTTGTTTCTCTAAGTGTCTGTGCTACTGGGGTTATATTTAGGAAGTGGTTATACATGATGATTTTACATGAACAGTTACCTGCTAATGTAACACTGACACCAAGCTGTCCTGGGTTGCTCATGGGGAGGTTGATGTCATCCAGCCCAAGCATCAGCTTGTCCCAGGGAGCCCAGGTACATAGTATACACTTTTATTCATTATCTGTTTCTGTGTTCCATAGGCAATTCTTTGGCTTCTCTACCACCTGAGGTCTGGACCCTGCCTGAGATTGCCTGCCTGGTCCTCAGCTGCCTCCTGGGCATAGTTTGTCTGGTCCTGGCTGCTCAGTGGTGTCACAGCAGAGTTATTAGCATGGGTGAGGAACAAGCTTGTAATGTGTCCCGAAGGCAGTGAAACAGAAGTGTAGGGGAAGCGTTGTGAAACTCCAGCTACCACACACCCTCTCTGTTCTAATTATTGTCCTAAATGCTGGCAAGTCTCCATGATAGCCAATGCTGAGTTAGTATTGGTAGATTCCTGGATTATTATGGTCTGGAGGATTCTGTGTTTGTCCACTGTGCTGAGGACATCCTGCAGGACCACAATGGGCTCCATTGCCTCACCCACCATCGCTTGTGCTGTCCTGACTGAGATCTTTCACAGATGAGCTGTGATCCTTACACTTACACATCCTACACCAGACCTTTGAGCATTGTGTATCCTGAGTAGGAGGGATCACACTGAGGGCACCTGCGGTGAGGGGTGTCTCCCTGTATCTGGGTTCTCAGCATGCAAAAGAGCCACAGGATCCAGAGAGGGTGGCTGAGGTTTTAGCTGTGCTTGTTTTGGAAAGTTCTGGTATGATCTCTGCAGGTTCGGGAGCGATGGGGCAGGGGTCCTCAGATGCTGTCTATGAATACATTGAAACAGTCCCTATGGAGGAAAGAGCAGAGGAGTCAGCAGCATCCCGGGGCCTGGTGCAGGATGAGGATTATGATGATGCAGAAGAGCCTGAAAACAGCCCTGCGGAAGATGTGGAGGCTGGGTACCATTGAGCTGGACTAGTGTGTACCGCTGTTCCCTGAGTTCCAGTGTACCCTTTCTCATAAAGTGGTTCTACTGTGGCCTGAGGACCAAATGGGTGTCTCTCCCTTTAAATATAGATGGAGCCGTCTGCTGCCTGCATGCTGACGCTGATGCTGAAGCTGAAAGAGAAAACTGTGATGGTCACTATCTTCAACAGATGATGCTCTCACCCACTGATACAAGGGGACGGATCTAATGAGAGTTTACCAAGGCCAGTTGGACTGGGACTGAACGAGG